CAATAGTAAACATTCAAGATATTCGGTTATTGCCATTATTTTTATTATTGCTATGTATTACAAACCAGTTACTTATAAAATTCCTTAGGTTGAATGAAGTTTCATATCTTGATTTTTTCACATCCCAAACTGTTTTGAGTTTAGGTATTATAACTCCTATTGCTACAGTATCAAAAAGTGAAATCCATTATAAATAATCTTCCAAAGATAAATTAAACACATTTTATATTTTCTGTTACCAAGCCCAGTTATGCTTTCACACAGATTTTTGAGTCACCATTTGAGAGTCTATTTTCTTATTTTTTTAAAATAGTTTTTCCATCTGTACAACAATTTATTTTATTTGTGGTGTGAGTATAATTTTTTCCATATTCATTAGTCATGGATTCAGATAGCCGATCAATAACAATCATTGCTCCATGATTGGATTAGCTACCCTAAGTCTTCCTATTTTTAAATATTTTTAGATATTCCTCACTTCAAATGAGCCCAATYATTTCTGACTGAATTAAATTGCCAAATTTTGAATAGTTTCCCCTTTTAAGTAATGTTTGCTTTGGAAATATTTGTAATAACAACAACAGGGTAAAAATCAATCAATCCATCCTGTTGTTGGCAGGTTGAGGGTTTAGAGTATCATACTCAACTCACTGTGGTTTCCAAATCTGAGCAGTTAATCGTTGATTTAAACCAACTAATCAACCAACATGATCCCCCTCCCCAAATAACAACAGTAACAAAAATGGGCATTTAAAACTTAAAATTTAAAAAGAACATTAAAAAAAAGTTAATGTTGCTATATCCCTCTCCTCTAAGGTCTTATCAAAGACTATGGCTTTCAGCATTTTTGGGTGAATTCTAAAAAATCCAGGAGATCTCATCTTGTAACTGAAACTTAAGAAATAAACATACTTCCTTTTCATGTCCAAGTGTTATTCGGTACTTGAGTATTATTTCCAAAGGTGAACCTGCCAGAACTCAACAGGGAAAATAAATGGATCACAGAGAAAGAGATACAATACATAGAACCCATAGAAATCATGTCTCATTAAAGGAAGGTTTTGGTGTTGAATGCAGTCACTTACATGCACAAGAATCATGAAAAGTTCATCAACGTCTGTTTCAGTTTATATATTTTACATTTTTGTTAATTCAGTTCAGGCTATAGATGAAAGATCTTTTCCAATAAGTTTCTTTCATTTGGGTTTCAGGTAAAGTAATGGGAAAATGACTAATTTTTCAAGGTTCAAAAATAATTTACTGAGCAATTATTATGTTTCTGATTAATTTACTATGAAATCCCATGAACCATTTCACTTTTTAATGTTTGTGTCAAGCACACCTGGTGACCCAAATATAAGCAATGAGAATTTTTCTCTTCAGCTGGTCCTGTTGTCCATAAAATAGGCAGGAGACAGTTAACAGGAACTAAGACAGGGAGCAAATATGAGATGTAATTTTTCATATCTGATATGGAAATTATTTCCATCAAGAAACACAAAAGATTTATAAGGTAACAGTAATCGTGTGCCTCTATTAAAATAAAAAATGCAATTGAAAGCAACACAGGCTACTGGTTCTCTTTAGGCAGGAGGACTAACACAGAACTCCTATGAGATAAGATCCACAGTGTGAATACTACTAGACTATGGGACCAGGCAGTTTGGTTTGCTACAGATAGGGGGAACTCACATAACCTTATTTTCCAGATCCTTTACTATCAAGATCCATCCATAGATCTATCCACATCATGGAGGATTCTGTGTGTGCAAATTGATTTGGGGTCCTATAGAACTTATCAGATAGTAGTTTCTCTTCCTAAGTTTGCCCCAGTATAACACTTCTGTTCTTACTGACCTAAGTGACCATGCATGGGTTATTTCTTTGGTTTGATCTCCAAAGTAGAAGCATTGTTTCTATGTACACTATCAAAATGTACATATAAATTCTGAAATATGCTTCTGGGAACATCTTTAATCTTTTCATTTCCATAGTCTCAAGAATTTGAGCTACTTGGAAAGTTGCAATTATCAAGAAAAGATTGAACTCAGTGTCAAAATTCAGTATTGGATGAGAATAGAGGAAGGATCTGAACAACAAGTTCTGAGAGATCCTAGAGGCAAATATCAGTGAGTTAAGGCCTTGACCAGGAGCTTATGCCTGGCCAGAACTAAGGCCTCCACCCCACACCTGCATCTCAGAACCCCAAGCTTAATAAAATGTGAAGTGAATGCATGAACAACTGCTAAATAGACCATTGTAGGAAGTACTGATTCAGGGAGAGAGATAGTAGGAAGAAAAATAGTAAGAAGTAGTAAACAAGATTAAAATGACAAAATGTGCATTTAACTTACCTTTGGAGTTGGTTATTCAGAAGGAAACCAGGCTTTTGAAACACCCACTGAGAAAGTTGTGGCTTTTCTTTGGAACCAGATTGACCCCACAGAGAAACAGAAAGAAGAGGAAATGTTCAGTCAAAGACCAAATATCCACGCAGCAGTTTCCTTCTGCCCAGGATAATGCTGTTTTTACTTGTATACATCTTGTTTTTATATATTTACTCTCTATGTTATTACCAATGACATAAAATTTAATTTTTCTCCAAATAAAATATAAAACTTGTGTCTTCCTACTCAGGGGAACACACAAGGGTGGGAGGAATGCATGGGATTATGACAGTAATCTAAAGGATTAGGTTTATTTGCAGTTAGTTGATTTTGTGTATGCATGTCTACTTGTCTACATGGGTTATGTGTGTTTGTGTCTGTCTGTCAAATAATTTTACAGAAAGCATTTGGGTCATGAACAAAATTAGTCATTACCTCTTTTTTAGTCTAAGGTGTAGTTGTATATGTTTTAACAATTGATTCCATATGTGTAGTTTTGTTTCACATGGGAGAATATTTGAGCAACTACATTTCATGCAAACTTTGATTTTAACTGTATTTGTAAAAGTTGGTTTCGGAAGCTTGTAGGGTGTTGCATAGGTGTCTTGAGAAAATCTTTTTATACTGAGAAGTTCTTGAGTCAATGCTGTACTTGATATTAATTTTTGTTTAGCAGTATATACAAGAAGTTAGTCCTGTGTGTACCTGGAATATTATTTTGGTTGGAGGTAAAGAAAGAGGGAAGTGACAGAAATAGACAAATTATCTTCAAACTTTCTCTTCATTCATTTGAATTTTTCTTCAACAAGTTTTAATCCCTGTTTGGTTGTGTACTTAAAACAAACAAAACAAACCAAAAACCTCACAACTTGCTGTAAATGAACAATTGATTACAATTATTGATTACAATTATTAGGGTTTGGTGGCAGGTCAGGAAGAGAAACATGTATAATCGGTGCTGTCTGGGACAGATCAACACTAAAAAGCTCACTTTAGGTTTTTAGCAGTGTTTGGTGAAAAATAAAGGAGTCACTTACCTTTTCACTGAGTGACTTGTTAAATTCGTGTTCCTAAATACGCTGGTGTTTGCCAGAATCAGTTGTCAAAGTTAGGTCTGAAAATTCTAAAGGGAAAGTTGTTAGAATCCTGTCCTCCCTGCTAGCCATCACTAACACCAAGTGGTGGCTCAATCCCTCGATTTTTTCTGCTCCAGGACATTCTGCGAAGGAGAAATGCAACAACTTTTGAACAACCCCCTGCATCACTTTGGAAACCTTGACAATTGCTAATCAAAGCTCACCAGCAGTTTCCAGGACAGCTAGTCTCATAGTGTTCCCCCGCCGGTCTCGCCGCTGCYACTGGCGCCCCCAAGCGCCTGGCGCCTGCGTTTACTACCTTCCACCTTGGAAGAAGGGAACTGCAACTGGGGAGCCTTAAGGATGGACCGCAAAGACTTCCCTTAGAATTTCCCAGGGGGCAGGAGATAGAAAACAGAGGAAGTCAGAACCCCAGAGTCCCCACCAAGTCCATTCCTGCCTGGGATTTCCTCTTTGCAAAGAAGGCAGTTGCCAAGAACTGTGAAGATGCCCATTCAAGCTGCGAGGTCCAATCTCTTAGAACATATACCCGGGGCGCCTCTTCCTTACAGTCCCTCAGATACACAGATACACTAAGTGTGGTGGGGTTAGGCATGGATAAGGAGGAAACTGAAAAGACCAAACCCTTTGGAGCAGGAGAATTATCTTTCCCCTTCTGGTTCTCTCCTTCCACATTCCCAAATCTCCCTCTGGATCCCTCTGGCACCTGCTAGCGCACCTTTATGGCGCCAGCCCTAAGCACTCTTTGGGAGGGACAGGTTAAAATCAAATTTGAGCGCACACAGAACACAATATTAACGCCCATAAGTTTGCTTCTTTAAAGTCTCTATACTGCTTTTCTAGCGCTCCTCGACTAGTCAGAGACTGAGGATGTGTGGGAGTATATTAAGGAAGGAAAGTGGCGGTCATGACACGTGGGGACAGCTTGCCCCTCTCCTTTAAACACATTTGCCCTCCCCCTGTTTCCAAAGGCCCATCTACTCCTTGGAGCTGTGGTCAGTAATTGGGAGCCTCATGTTCTTCTAGGGGTAAATCTCATTTTTTTYCCCAACTGTAGAAGAGGAATGGGAGGTTGAGCAGCGGGAGAAAAAGTAGAGGAAGCCACGAAAGGAGCTGCAGCAGCAGGGTGTAAGGAGGGCGGGGAGCGGGCGGGGGTGAGAGAAACGTTTTCACTCTTTGTCACTCTTGAATTGGGGGCGGAGGAAAAGCCCACTGTGGAAAGCTATAAAAAGCAAAGAGGGCTGGGGGAGAGGAGAGGAGAGGAGAGAGAAGGAGAGGGGAAGGGAGAGAGAAGGAGAGAGAGAGAGAGAGAGAGAGAGAGAGAGAGAGAGAGAGAGAGAGAGNGAAACGTTTTCACTCTTTGTCACTCTTGAATTGGGGGCGGAGGAAAAGCCCACTGTGGAAAGCTATAAAAAGCAAAGAGGGCTGGGGGAGAGGAGTGCTGAGGAAGCAAGTGGCAGGCCCAGAGGAGAGAGAGAGAGAGAGAGAGAGAGAGAGAGAGAGAGAGAGAGAGAGAGAGAGAGAGAGAGAGCGCAGGAGTGCCAGAGTACTAGTCCGCGCGGAGCGCAAGTGGGCTCCCAGGGCATCGCAGTGTCGCTGCTCACTGGGGGTGGTTACCCTGTGTGAACCAGAAGCAAACGCCTCAGAGTGACTGTGAGATCGCGCGTGGGGGACATCAGCTCCTCTCGGATCTCCAGGGTCCGGTCTGGAGGCGATTCTGATTCCCCGTTATACAGCCTGATAACCTGCAAAGTTTGAGACATTAAGAATAGGAAAAAAGAGAAGAGAAACCCAACCGAGACCAAAGGCGAAGAAACTGTTGCAGACCTGCTGATCAGTTAAGAGAAGGACTGAACCGCGGAGTTTTCGCAGTGAACTCTGAGGTGCAAAGCACGGACCAACCCCAGCGGCGCTGGGTCTTCTAGCACCTTGGGTCACGCCTCCTTGGCGAGAAGGCGCCTGGCCTTTGATTGCTTGCAGTTACTGCAGAAACTTCCTGCCCTGGTGGAGAAGCGGGTGCTCGCTCCAGGCTTAAGGCGTGAGACTGAGTTCATTGGGTTTTTGGTTCCCCAACCAGGAAGGGTTGAGGGAACAGTGTCTGCGAGCCCTCTGCGCCCCACGTGACGGGTCCGGTGTTGGGCTCCTTCTTACCCCTTCATTCGCATCCCTCCGGGCTTTGCGCCTCCCCGGAACACCTCGCCGGGAGATGGCCGCGTTGATGCGGGGCAAGGATTCGTCCCGCTGCCTACTCCTACTGGCCGCGGTGCTGATGGTGGAGAGCTCACAGCTCAGCAGCTCGCGGACCAAACTCAACTCTATCAAGTCCTCTCTGGGCGGGGAGACGCCTGCCCAGGCCGCCAATCGATCTTCGGGCATATACCAAGGACTGGCTTTCGGCGGCAGTAAGAAGGGCAAAAACCTGGGGCAGGTAGGAAAATGCAAAAACACTCTTGAGCCAGGGGAGATAGGGACCAGCSCTTTTGCGCGCGCTCCCTTTGCCTTTAAGCCTGTTTATAATCGGAGCGCGACTTCAGGTGTGGCGCGCCCACCGCTGGGGAGGGTGTCCCCAAAGTTGAGTCTGCACTGGCGCGGGTGTCTGGGTGTTTGTTGCTTGCATGGAGTGGGARGGTTACGTTTCTGCCTCACATTTGCTTCGGGATGTGGGCACCTATTAAGACCTAGTGCGTTCCAAGAGGATGCAGCTGATGAAGATATTATCTGTCCCATAGCAACTATTATTTGCTAGGCACTATTTTAGGCGCTTTACATGTTCACAAGTTCAGTGTTCACAACTCAATACSACAGGAGCTGTTGCTTTTCTATTCCACAATGGAGTAATTGAGTCACTGAGAGATTAGTGATTTGCCCCAGGCGCACAGCTGGTGTAAGTGGCAGAGCAGAATTTCAGACTGGGCAGAGTCCAGATCCTGGGCCCCCATTACATGTTACAGTTTTAAGAGGGATTTACCTCTTTTCAGGTTCTCCTCTCCCAACCACTTTCTTCCTTCAAAGAAGTAAAGTCACTGGTAGAAAACAGCTCGATTGATACACTTTTCTCACTCCTGTAGAATTGTAAATAAATCAACCATGAAGAGGCAAAATGATGAGGTGCAATGACAGCGTCCTAAGCGCCGGCGATAGAACAAGGACACCAGAGACGTTTTTGTGAGAGGGAACATCCTGTGGGCGATTGCGTCTCTGTGTCACACAGACAATTACATTGACAAACAGTTGCACAAATAGATACCTACAGAGCCGCAAGCGCGCACTGTGGGCACCAACTGTGGCCGGCGCACAGCGGCCAGGAGAGGGGGCTCTGTGGGTACTGAGAACCACAACAGCTCCACCTTCTGCTCCTTTTGTGGCAGGCCAATACCAAAAGCCAGTTTGGCAAACAGCACACGCACCTCGCACAGCACGTGTCAGCCCCAGTGGCGACCCATGCCCGGTAGATCTTTGTTTTCTTGCTTCCTCAGAGGCGTCTGCAGATGTGGTTCCTAGTGCAGAAAGTCCTCAGTCGCCTCTGCTTACAGCCCAGGCGGCAGGGTGAAGGATGACAGCCAGCCTGGTGCTGGTTGGTCAGCCAGGGAAACTCAGATCGTAGCTTGGCCCCCTACTGCCCTCTCACGGGGACAGTTTTGCTAGTTTTGCAGTTTGAGAATGTTTCCCAGGTTTGAAAATGTCAAACATTTCGGCTATTTTCTCAAAGGATTGCAAGGTCTGTAATCACAGTCTTTCTCTCTTCCTTCCTTCCTTCCCTCCCTCCCTGCCTTCCTCCTTCCTTCCTTCCTTCCTTCCTTCCTTCCTTCCTTCCTTCCTTCCTTCCTTTCTCTCTTATTTCGTTTAGGGACTTAAAGAAAATAAGCTATGCACGTATGTACTCATGCACGTACTAGGAAACCTTGGCGTATACTTATGAAACCTTTGCGCATCCTAACACACATTCATATGCCTCAGCTCTTGTATGACAGCGCTCATACCCTGTTCCTCTTCCTGGGAAACACCCTGACACTTTCAACAGCAATGAACCTAATGGACTCTTGGAAGTCCATCATGAAATAGAATAAGGGTTAGAAATCTAAACCAGAGGACTTTTTTTTTTTTTTTTTTTAACGCTACTGACTTCTAACTCCACATTATCAGTTTAACCTAGCGGTATGTATAGTCCTACAAAGAGATAGGGACCCGATTATCTTTTGAGGTTGCTTTCAATTCTACTCCATGTATATTCCGGGAGTTCATATAAAGCTCATTTTGTTTCTGTCATGCAGTTGGACCCCCATACCTGATGTTCCTCTGTCAAATGATGAGTTATGTTAGCATTGTCACTAGCCATGGCCTTACAGAGTAGACTGATGAACACATCTCAGAATGCCGCATCCTCTTTTACAGTTTTGTAGTATACCTGCTTGTAAATAGTTACACACTATGTATAATTATTTTGGTATTCCTCCAAGGATTTACTTGATTATGTTGCTTAGAGTTTAATCTAAAGCAGAGGGCTTCTGATTTCTAACTCTACTTGCTCTCCTCAGATGGAAGTTTTATTTATTTATTTTACAAATGAGTTGAATTTCTGATATGTCCTCCATAAGTTGGCAGTTCTATGAAATAGGTTTCGTTATATGTACTTATGTAGCAGGTCCTTAAAATTTGACATTATGTTTTTGAGAAGATTGTAACATATTGCAGTTAACAGTAAAGCAAAACAAAATGTTGGATCCAATAGAAGGAGGATAGATGGACTACATTTTGTGTACTCCACCTCCCCACCTTGTCTAGCAGATGGTCTAAAACATATACCATTGTGAAGAACCAAATAGATTTTCTCTTTGGAGCAGAAAGAGGAATTATTTGTATACTGGTTAGTCTTGCTATCTTTTTTATTCCACCTAGTTATRTAGTCACCCAAATTCTTAGTATTCTTGTTTTCAAAAATAGCATGTAAGTGATAAACACACTGAAAGAGGGAAGAAGGCACTTCCATTTATAGGGAAATCTCTTGACTTGAAATTAAAATGCTCTGAATTTTTATCTTTCATAACAACAAAATATGGTAGAGAAGATTGGAAGCCAAGTGTCAAATAATCAAAGTATCTAATTATATGCTGTCATCCTGAGGCCTAATGAGTTTGATTTTCCCAACCCCTTTGTCCATGATTGATGATGTTGAAATATATGTCATTCAGAGATACAGGAATAAGAAACTTTTGGATGCAACTTCAAGTTGGCAGGTTAAAAGATTTGCTTTTCATCATTTTTGTCTTAAATGGAAATTTAACAAATATTTAATTTAATTTTTCAGGATAGAAAATTAAAATAAAAATTTTACTGCCATTGCTGAAGAAATTTTTTGAAGAAATTTTAAAATTCCCTAATCTCAAATGTGAAAATGAGAATAAATGGTATCCACAATTCATTTGATTCGCTCTAGACTGATTTCGTATGAAGAGAAACATTCTTATTTATAGGGTTTCTGTTTGTTCTATGGTCATGGTGGATTATTTGTAAATTACTCCTAGAAAATGTGTCTTTAAATTTTAAGAAAGATTTATAGGGCCCAGAGATAAGACATATTGTTCTCCAAAGGCATTAAAATTCTCATTCTTAGATTTTCTTTTACAGACACAGTTTTGAGTTACAACAGAAACYGACATAGAAAATTGAGAATGGTAGCATTCAAATGGTTGACACAGAATTAGCAAAAAATATTTTATTGCATAATTTACATTAATTTTTAATTTGATTTTTCATTTGCAGCTACTGCTAATGGGTTTTTAAAGGTACTGCATGTAGGTATATATATCTTGGGATAAATTAATTTGCAGGACTATTGCATATATATGTGTGTGTGTGTATACATATATAATATATATATATATGTATATATATATATATATATATATATATATTTCAACACCTAAATAAAGTATTTCAAATGTTCAAAATCAAAACTAGTTTTAAACAAAATTTTCAATATCACATGGATAAATATATTTGATTAAGTATACCGTTGTTTAACATCACCTCTGGAGTTTGAGGTGTTGAATTTTTAGGCAACCTTTGAAACTAATTATTAAAAATGTCCAAGCAATGAAAAAAATCATTTTGCTTTTATAATTCACACGTTTTATGTGACTGTAAAACTTTCTAGAGTTGTTTTTCTAATAACTTCTTATTCTTTACTCATTGCTTCGTTTTATTGAGACTAGTAGCTGAATTTAATTTGAATACAATGTAGTATTTTGAAATTATTTTAAAAGCGATGAGTATAACAATGACAAAACAACTTTATTTTAAATGTAGACAAACATCTTGGCATGTATCTTTAAAGAGAATCTGAAACTGTTTAAAGTAAATTCAGATTTCATGATTTTCTAATATAACTTGGATACTTGAAGAACAATGGATTAGAAGGAGTTATGTGTTAGAATAAATTCTTAAAATATATTGAAACAGAACTTGAGGGAGTTATTAGAAATAATTGTTATTTGTAGATTGCATCTTTAAGATAAAGTGCAATTGAAATATCCTAAGCAGTCTAATTTGGTAAGTGATCTCTTCACTTTCTGAAATTATTTGTGACATTTTTTTTTTAAGTCACAGTCAACTTTCCCCTGCTAAAGAGTAAATAATCTGCTTATTCTTTCTGGATATTCACTGACATTAAAAACAAATATTTTTAAGGTTAAAATTTTCAAAAGAACTTGAAATATTTGGTAACAGTCTACATTATGATTCCTTTTCTTTCATTCTAAATCATGGAGATTGATAGTCGATACAAGTGGAACGTTACCTCACAAATAGAAAGAAAGGAATTTTAATCATAATCTAAGTATCCATTAATTTATTTTTGTGCTAGACTCAAGAGAGCAAGAGGACAAGGTGCATTAACTCACTCCAGCTGTGACACTGACCCTACTGTAGTCTTCTTTAGTTTTCATTCTGAACAAACTTCTGCCCCCTGTCCTCATTCCCAGAATGTTTCAAATCTATAGTTTTATAAAGATGAGGCAATAACATGAAGGGTAATGGGTTCATTCTATTTAAGGGGAATAGTGGTACTTACTCTTCTTTTTTCTCCATAATCAATTTAAATGTATAATAAAGTCATTTGTGAAGTTTTAGAAGAAATACCCTTAATATATTTACTTTTTTTAGTCACGGCTGCACGTTTTTTGATATTGAAGCAACATCAAAATGAATTACTGTCTTATTTCTGCTTGTCACTCCCTGCAATCTGTTAAAGTTGTTTTAGTTCATTATATTTCTAGTTGCTCATSTATTAAAAAAAAAGATAAACTGCTTATAGCCATTTATCTAATTATTGAAAATATTTCTATGACATTTGTCTGTGTGAGCCTTGTACTGAGTCATTTTTAAAATCTGAAGCAAAAGCCAAAAGAAAATAAGATTAATAATAATTAG